AGATAGATAGATAGATAGATAGATAGATAGATAGATAGATAGATAGAAAGATAGATAGAAAGATAGATAGAAAGATAGATAGACATAGGTGAACAAGATTGGACTGGTTTAGAAAATAATGGATTGATTTATTTAGTCTAGTTTTTCTGTTGTTCTATTTGTCTTCCCATATTTACTGTCTTTCTCTTTTACTCATTTCCTGTGTTTTGAGGCACTTTTGATCATTCCATCAATTTTACTGTCTTGTTTTGTCTGACTAATTCTACAATGACGGATGGCAAAAAGAACAGAATCTTGCCTGGAATGAATATCTGTTCTATATTAACGCAGTAGTATGTAAAAGGTTTTGACAGTGATAAAGATAATCATGATTATTGGATTAATCAAACTGTCGGAGCCCTGGATCTCGGAAGAACCATCTGTAATGACAGTATGTGGGTGTAACGGCGCACTGTTCCTGTGTGGCTTTTTAAACTGTTCTGAATCAGCCTGAGGATATAAAAACAATGCAAGTGTCCACATCCGCCTCTCATCTCCACATTCTGAAACACATCAAACACAGCAGCGCACAGGATAATGAAGAGGATAAGGGCTAAAAACAGTAACCGTGTGCTCACATTTAAAATAACCAATTCTTGTCCCTCCTCTCTATCTTTTCATCCATCTTAAGTAGTTTGACTCTAAATATACACAAGAAAACTGCATGAACATCCATCTCGACTGTCGAGCCATTCTTCACCCGCCCCCCCTCCACCACCACCCCTGTCAAAAACCTACCTCCTCTGCTCTGCAAGCCGCCCACTCTCCTCATCTTTCTGTGCTCCACACCTCCATTCGAAACTTCCACCTCTTCTGATACAGCACTCACTCGTTATCTTTCTGTCACCCCCCCCCAGGCAAAAATAACATCTTGACCAAACCAAAGATTGCCACTGAATTCTAGCAACTTGAGTTTTCCCATCTTTTTTTTTTTTGGCACAAACTTTGTGCACAAAACTCACCATATCAATATAATTATATTTTGGGTAAACCAGTTTAAAAGAAATTCTTTCTGGTATTTTTTTGTCCTGACCCCTCCCTACATTTCTCCCTCCTTCAGACGCCTCTTCACTTGTCAGAAAATATAAAATCTCTACCAAGGGGAACTGAACAGACCACATTAAATTCAACTTAGTTCCCTTGTCTCTCCCCATGTAAGACAAACTCAAAAATAATTTGCACTCACTTTACATTTTTTGTCTGCGAGAATAAACTGCGCATGAAGAGGAAGGGGGCGCAGAGGGAGGCAATCTTGTTACCAGCCGGCATAGCCCTGGGAAGATTTCTATCTGACACACGTATAGAGAGAGGCATCCATTTAGAAAATGGCTTTTCTAGGCATGCTGGGCCATTTAGCACACCCTGTGACGACTCCTGTTTGGGGCAATGATAAATGTTCTTTCACACTCAGTCTGTGCACACAGTCTGGCCAGCGCACGCACAATCACGCACACCCATATGGGTGCCTAACACAAGCCCTCATCAGGATGGACATAGCTATCTTAAACAAAGACTGCCTCCATTGAGAAAGACCGAAACAAGGATCTTCAGACACCTGTTGAATCAAGTAGAACTTCTATCCAATAAGACCATTCCAACATCACAGCAATCAAGGAGCAAATTTCCTAATTAAAACATTTATGCAGAGCCCTTCTCATCCTAAGTGACAACAGGAATAATTAATCACTCAGTTCACCTGCTATTACTTTTTGTAAACTAATTTGTTTCTCTATTCATTTAGTCAAAGCTTGGCTTCCACCTGCTTTCCATAGTAAGACCAAAAATGTTCCGTTATTGAGCTTTGCACATGTTTTCATTACCCACTTTAAGTTAAGTCTTCAGCTGTGAAGTGAATACTGAATTTGGACAAATTTGTTCTGATAAGGTTTCTATGAAATCTTAATATCAAAAGAATAAACAGAAATTCAGGATACTTCAATGGTAACAGTACTTCACTTTGACTACGAATAATGTAAGACCACATCTTGATACTCCATTTGTTAAAAACAAAACTTTTCTTAATTGAAAATAAATCTTTCAATTGGATTATTGCCTCAGTGCCCCTTCAGTACACAAAGCCTAAATCAGTCAGAAAGATTGAGTCAAGTTACGGTCACAGCTCGACTTGACCATTTATTAATTTCTCGTTGTCGCAGTGTGCATGCAGACCTTCAAGACATTCTGCTGCATGTAGCTTTCTCTGCGGAAGATCATCATCACATTAAGTCCAGCTGAGACCACTGCACAGATGTTCCATTTCAGTTACTCAAATGGTAATTTTGTCAGATGATGCTGAGTTGACTGACTGTGTGACTGACAGTCACCAACCACTCGAAGCAACTGGATTTTGACACATCGCCTTAATATTCAATTACACCTTCTTACATGTTTTGCTGTATGACAGGGGAACCAGAGAAATTTGTAAATAACTGCAGCTTTTTGGAAATTCAACAGCTGCAAGGATTTGCCTGGGTGAGGTTGATATTTAAAAAACAGGCGCAATAGAGCCACATACAAAAAAACTGAACTAAACTTAAAAATACAAAAATCATGGTCACAGAGGCTGATCTGAAAGTTTATGTAGGGAGAGAGAGAAATGAAATGGAGAGCAGGTGAGAAAGGAAGCGCAGGTGCAGGGAACTGAGCTGAAGAGAAAAGGCACTGAGAAAGGCAGGAAGCACCAAAGTGTGTTTTTACCCAAATAAAACACAGGAAGCCAAATACTTCCTGGAAAAACAAGAGAAGCTAAAAACTTGATGGCAAAAACTTGTCTGTCTTATTCTAGAGCTCATGAAATGAAAGCATTTCATCCGTTCACCATGAAAGACATGCTACTATAGAAGTCTGCCTCTATCCAGGTATCCACACTGCTCAGCAGAGGCTCTGAACAAAATCCTCTCTCTGCTTTGTTTTGTTTACATGGGATGAGTGGCAAAAATCAACCTCTCCCCCCATCACTAGCTTCTGCCTCAGCGTCTGCCTTATATCCTCTGATGGTCATTACCCTTTAAACCGTCTGAATCCCTGACAGCTTACTTCCTTTACTCTGGAATCCTTCAGCTTCTCCACCGTACTAGCAGCTATCACAGAACCCACTGTTACCGCCAGCATTAACGCCACAGGCACCGCACAGGCTGAATGAATCACACTCACCCAAACAGCAATAATGAAGCATTCATCCCAGGGTGCATTACAAACCCTGGAAGCATGGCAAATACGCACATGGCAAAAAATATGATGAAATGGTGTCAATAAAACCATGCGCCACCATCTGCTCAGCCAGAAAATACACACAAACACACACACACGTAACAAAGGAACAGTAGAGGTGTGGATACAAACCAAAACTACATCTTCTGCTGACACTGTCCCTCTCAGCAAGTCAGTAAGTGATACCACTTTCATGAATTTGTTGCTATGACGTCAACCCTTAAAAACCTGTCTTTACAGGACTTTTCCGGCTTCAGAAAGGCTATCCATTGACGTCAGGGAGTCTGGAGGTCTGAGGAGTGAGCAGGATATTTATTTTGAATTCTAATAAAAAAATTGAGAACTAAAATCTCAAGAACATCAAATATTTTGGCTGTGCTTCTACAAAAACTGCACATCAGATACACACGCACTGATGTTGTACAACCTAGCACAGAGACATCGGATTAAAAATGCATGAAAATGCGGTGTCACAAGCAAACGTGACGTCAACTTACCGATCTCATCTGCTGAGTTCCGGTGACGTGCTGAAGAACCTTTTCCAGCTCCTTCTCAATACGTCCAGCCCAGTGAATCATTCTGGAAAATAAAACGAGTCACTTTCAGTCTGTATCTCTCAGCATTATCACCTGAACATGACATCACACAGGCCCTCATTTGTCTGTCATGTGCACGTGAGTGAGTGTGTCTGTAAGATAGTGGTGATGAGTCTGCCCCCATTTTTCCCTGCTCCAGCCCTGTTGGCAAACGGCCGCGCTCCCCTATTTCCGGCTCCCTATCTGAAAGCATCCGTGCCCTATCTCTGCTAATGGCTTGAGTTTGTCATCAGCACCTCCTATCCCCATCACATCTTGCATATATCTGGTCAGCCCTGGCGGGACTGGCAGGGAACGTGCCTGTCTCGACTCGGCAGTGATCGGTGGCTCCGCAATAAAACTGCTCGGGTCTGACAGAAGTGCACCCTAAGCAGGAGCTGATCTGCGTTAGACGGAGCCAAGTTTGGAATTAAGAGATCAAACGGTTTGAGCTCATCACAGTATATCTCTCAGCAAGCAACAAATGACTTAATGGATCAAGATTTTTTTTTCTAAAATCATTCTCAAGAAGCAGCCGGAGCCAACCTGCCAGCATGGATATATACACTGCATGTCTGTGGCCAATGAGAGATTTTCTGAGTAAAAAAAAAAGGGTTTTGAAAACTCATCATTCAGTTATCAAATCAATAATTCTGTCATGTGCCCGCTAGCCAACCACTGAATCTGTGCCAACCTTTTCTTTTCAGCAGCCAGCAGATAACTAATCACTAGCATCAACATCACAACAGTCGTTTGTCTTTTAACAGGGTGACAGAAACAAATGTCATCTTTAAATGTCAGATTTCTTCAAAAGACAAAGGGAAGACAGAGTTATTAAATTGCGCAAATCTGCCAAACAGTGAAAGCGTTTGCCACAATCACCGAGTGGCAGCGGGCCCCATCAGGAGTAAAGCAGTGGAGTAAACCCGCCAGCCAGCGTGCCCAGTGCCTGATCGCTTATGTGGACATGATTAAGAGACAAAAAGGGGACTTCCAAGAGGACTACAGAGAGGGACCACTGTGGAGAAGTGGCTGACTCTGAAAAGGTCAAGTCAATATGGAATAAAAACAGAGATTACAGTCAGATCTGAGCGGAGCAGGATGCAATGACTCAAACTGTGAGGGACAACAATTCTTGGCATGAGTCAGGCAGGTTTCTCCCACAACTTTGTTATATTTACACACACATATATGCATTCATATATCACGTTACTGTTCTTGTCTAAACAATCCCTTTGACTTACAATGAAGAGTTTACCCAGATGGACACTTGACAAGCACAATATGTATCACCTTACACATAGTGACACCATAAACCACTGCTTAAAGTTATTTTACATATGCCATTTCAGATATCTATATAACAATAATAATGTTATTGCCCATGCCAGTCAAATATGACTTGAATATATATGAATTAATGAAATGTTGGGGACCTTTCCCACCATCATGGGTGAAAGCAAATCATCACAAAATAAACAACGCACACCCTCTAAAACCTACATGCACGTATGGACTTAACAGCCATGCCATTTGCCATTCTGGGTATTCAAATGAATTAACCAATCAACATAGTCATATACACGGGCTGATATCGGAGTTATGCAGGTGTTCATCTGTCTCATCACATGACTTGACGACATTTACGAGTCATTGATGTAAAGGACCTTATAATGAGTTAAAAATGAATGTTGGAGTCAAGCTCAATTAAGGAGGAAACATATTCTACAGGCCTAAAAATGCACAACTCTCCACATGCTGCAGCTGCTAAAATACCAGGACATGCTTGTTTGCTGAATTACATGCACTTCTGGGACCTGATGCTAAATGAACGCTTGGAGACCCTCTGTGTACTGAAAGCTGTGATCCCTTTCTAAAACAAAGAAGTTGTCATGGTTCACCACATTAAAGCGACTGATGCTCTCTGGCCCTTTGTAGTCTAATGTAGTATTCAAATTTTGCCATTTGCCTCCGGTGTTTTGATGTATTCTGTCTGTATTATGATTTATTTTTGCCGAACACTATGGGAAAGGAGAAAATTTGATGAAATGAGTTTGGATGGAAGACTTGTGTGTCAGCCACGTACTATCACTTTCTGCATTCTCCTGCAATGGATCTCATCATCTAAAGTACCACGCTCAAATATCTATAAGGGCAGAGAGTGGACTATTTTTTGGTGCGCGAGGACAGCATTGTTGGGAGGTAGCCGTTTGTACTTTAGCATCCACTTCAATTTCAACTATCAATGGTTTCTGTACAGAGTTTAAAAAGCTGGAAATAACCTCAAACACCAACACATCCAACATTGCAATGCAAAAACTTAAAAAAAGAGCATTTTAGCAGGAAATGTGGGGTAAATGTTGCCTTTCTTGGCACTGAGGCTAAATTAAATTGCTAAATGATCTGCCTTTTCTTATAGACACGCTTTCTCGGCTCAAACACACATCTCTGGGCTGTGTGCGTAACATGCATACACACCCAGCCGACTCCCTCAGAAGGTCTACACACACTTCGATTATCTGGTGAATTCTGCCAAACATCACAGTAATGTGGGTGACCCAAAACCTAGTTTATAAATCCCAAGAGGTGACTGGATATAATGCAGACTTCAACAAGGGCAAAGACTTGAGAGGTACCAAGTAATGAGATTATGTTTGCATCAAAAAGAAAACCAGAAACTGAAGAAAAACAATCAAAAAGGAAAGTGGCAATGAGATTTTAACACTTTTATATTTTTAAGTTGTTATTTAAAATCTTTTTTTTTAAACAAAAAAAAACAACAACAACGTGATTTTGCATTAAAAACTGAAATAATAAATGATGTGATTTACTTTTCCTTCAAGAACTCTTAGACTCAACGATCCAGTTTATTGTAATTTTAGATCATTCCACAGTTACATAAAAGAGCTGATTTTTCCTTTGAAAGTCACCTTGGCCGCCAAATTAACAAAACCCCCTCAAGATCTTCCAGACAGCATCCAGCGAGCGTATGACTGTCACATCGTTTAGATTTCTCTCCCATTTTCTGCGAACCTGCTTGACAAATCGTGGCTTCGGGCTACAGTTCGTGTCTACATCAGATCCCGTCACGGCAATTAAAAGCAGGGAGACGCACCATATGAATCAATAATTCACAAAGTCAAGCAACCGTTGCCCTCTTAGCCGAGACGCACTAAAGTGTCACGCGTGTCCTGCTGCTGCTGTCCCTGTAAATAAAATAAGGACACTCCTGGCTTGTGCCACTTTTGTGCCAACAGCTGGACGATGCACAGCTTTCAACTGTTTTAAATGTTAAAGAAGGGTTCAGTTCTCTTGTAAACTACGGGTTCAGGACTGCTGTCCTACAGGTGCAGGCTGGGAAAGTCCAGCCATAGTTTGCTTTCTTTTTGCAGCTACCTCTTGTGTCTGCTGAGATAAAGCATCGCTGTCCTCGATTCCGACTGTAACATTTCTAAATTTGGCCTTTTAAAAAAATGATCTACTTTAAAACACCAGCGGACTGAGAAGAGGGGGCTGAATGTTCTCCCCAGTCTAAACAAGACTTTACAGACGCTTCACTGGATGTTCTCTCCCATGCAACCACAGCCAAATAATTGCCAAATATATTTTTTATTCCCTGAATGTTTAAATGATCTGGTGATCTTGACGTTTTTATTCTCGTGCGCCACGTGCATGTGCTCCTCGTAGAAATCTCCCCGTATAGGTTGACGAAGACGAACTGGGAAAAGGCTGTCAACTGCCACTGTACCGTGAGGAAAAAAAACAAAAACAACTGGTCTGCGTGGGGAATGACTTTCATCGCCCTGCATCATATGCGGAAGCATCAGCTGCCTCCAAGGTAAACGGCGCTGGCTGCGTGTGCGCAGGCTGGCCGGGGCCACCTGTCCTAGTTGGGCGCTCCGCATCCCGCTTTAACCCCCACAACGCGCACGGTACTTACGTGTAGTGCTGAGGGAAGAGGTGGGTCCCGGCTGTCGGCGTGGAAACGTAAATGAGAAGTACAGTTTGGATCGCGAAGAGGCAGAAAACGCCGAACGACTGCGCGCAGATCGCCATTTTCCATTAAATATTCAAGAAACTGGGATAAATAAGAGAAGGACCGGAAGGGTTAGTCTCGCAGCTGAGCTAAGAATAACCCAGCCACGGAGAAAGTGAGTGGTGGGAGGTGATGGATGGCGGAGGGCTGCTGGACACTTCAGCCGGCAGTGAGATCTCAATCGGCGGTGCGCGCGCAGGATTTGGCCGCTTTGGACACGAGAGATGAGGATCAGGAAGATGCTCAGCCCGCTGTTGCTGATGTGCCTGCCTGCCTGCCAGTTCGCGCACTAGCCGTCCTCTCTCCCTCACCACCACCGCTCACATTCGCTCTTTTTCTTTCCCACTGTTTCCAGTACATCAACCGCGCGGAGCGACGCTCACTACTGTTCCCACAAGCCTTTCACAATAAAACCCCTCCTGGTTCCAGGGCGCCAGACATCACCGCAAATGACCGTGCGCATCTGTCGCCTAAATAACGAGTTGCACTCTCAGAAATGTGCTTTTTGAGAAGCTCGCTACCGACACCGAGAAACGACGTTACGCATCAAGAAATGTCACTCTTGTCTATCCAGCTGGCAGTGGCTCTAAAAGTCAGAGAAAGTCTCGCCGTAGCAGGCGTGTGGCTCCGCAGACGCACGGCCCTAACGCAGGTGGAACGCGCCCTGGTTTTATTTTGTAGGTCTAAACCGCCAACTTCCTGTGTTCGTCTGTCTGCGACACTTGATTCGGTCGTATTGGAAGTAGCGGTTCTTCCTCTACAAACAGTCTAATCCTGTGTGATGCCCGCGTTAGGCCCCTCCTCCTCCTCCTCCTCCTCCTCCTCCTCATGTCCACAGCTCTCCACAAACTCTGGATTAGGAGCTGAAATCATGGCTTTACTTTGCTAATTAGAGACACGACTCTAGAGGGGCCTATTGTATTAACTGGAGTGTAAACATTCAGCAGTCACAGGGCTGCTACCCAACTGCATTTGTTCTAGTTATTATCACATCTGGTCCAAGTGAATGGACTTTTGACTGAATGAAAGAACTAATAATCTCATTGTGCTGCCAAGTGTTTCAGTGGAGGGTCTTTAATTCTGCAGAGAGGCAGTGCGTATTTTGTTTCTCCGCCCTGTGAGACCTGTGAATAATCCTACATTTATAAAAAATAAAAAAAAGGCTTCGGTTTTGTATATTTACCCAAAGACATACACTCTGCGACACAATTTTATTACAACGGTAGACAAGGATGAGCGGTGCATTAAAACCTCAAAGTAAATCTCATTCAGCATGAAGTCACCCTCTGGAAAAGTGACTATCTCCCTGTGTCAGCCATGTGTGTGTGTGTGTTTGAGCTTGTGCACGCGTCATTGTGTGTGCACCTGTACATGTCCTACTGCCTCATCCTGCAATCCTGTTTGCCCTCAGATGGTGCTCGTTCAGTCGGAGGGCGCAGTGGGTGTGGCACGCTGGCTCCGTAAAACAGAGCCCATCGTCAAACTGATTCATTTTAACAGATTGTAACATATAGTAATACTTTTATATGCATTATATGCACTCAGTGTCAGAATTAAGCAATTTTGTCCTTGAAAATTCATGTTGAGGGTAAAAATCTTGCTTTCTCTGATATTTCATTTCTGTCACATTTAAAGAAGAGGTGCAGGATACATCCCCCGATACCCCCCTCCCCTCCCGCCCCCCCCAGGTGCTTCTCAGGGAGTCTTGCATCTCTCAGCTCATATGCTGGGAACAGAAAGACAGCTGGTCTTGAGGCTGTGTTGTCCTTGGCTCAGTCGGTCAGCAGGGAACACACAGGTGCTCTGCCACCGAAAGCTAAGCGGCGGTCAGCAGGGCTGCTGCACAGCATCACCGAGTCCTCAGTGGCAGGGAGGAAGAGGCTGCTGGTAGAAAAGACACACTGCAGGGCACAAACCTCAGCAGGACGGGGAGAATCTACCTGATAGCAGGGGTGACAAGCTATGTACACAGATGCTACGAATCGTTCAGTCAGAACAAATATCCGTGCTTGCTCCTGAGAGAGGAAAATATGCTTATATTTTTGCAGAGCCACACATGTTCGAGACATATTGAGCGAGGGACTCTCTCTCATCCACCGAACGAAACAAATCTGTGGGAAGCCAGAGACAAGCTTGTTTTGATTTTTCAATTTCAATTTTTCCTAACCCAGAGAAACAGTCTTCAGTGATGGCTACCCTCACACCTTGATTTGCCCCTGAAGCCTTGTATCCCATCATGACATAAATCATAACAGGCAAATGCTGGCAGTGATGTGGCTTCAGTCTGGCTGACTTAGACCTGATGTTTCTGTTGATTCACACACACACACACACACACACATTGTGCTCTTCTGTAATTCTTGCATTAGACCAACTTTTATCTTAATTTACCTGGAGCCAGGAGAAAGATAAAAGGCCATCGTCTTCATTTTGAATGAGGGAACAGCTTTGCTCACTGAACGAGCTGTCGAAACATCAAGGGGTGGTGTTTCTTTTGCGGATGACGACAGATTGCTGTGTCTCTGCAAGGAGCAAGAGGAGGACAGCTAACATCTTATACTACAATGTATGATGCCCTTTCCTCTTTACACTTTGTCACATTAACTCAGTGTTGCACTACTTGTGGGCAAAAATGTGTCGTATTAGAAGATGTGACGATGGGGCTTTGGAGCTAACTGGACGTGCTGCAATACTCATGGAGAGTCCACTCTTTATTACAGGTTATTGATCAGGCCGGCTAAGAGATCGGCTCAGTGAAAACACACAGATCAATGGACTCTGTTGATCCTTAAAACGATGCGAGGGGCAGACAGGAGGTGGGTCTCCACCACTCTGGGCGTCCCTCATTGGCTGTGCAGTTTCTCATGAAGAGATTGACTTGCCAATCTGTTATTGATCCACGGAGTAGGAGTGGAAGGCTGTGACAGGCTTCACCGTTCTGTATAAGAGTCCAAGCTCCTTTCTGGGGACCGCTCCCCCAGACAGAGGTCAAGTGAGTTGGAGCTGAATTAATCACTCCTTGTTTTGCTGTCTCCAAGCCTCAGGGGAGTCACAAGCAAAGGTGCACCCCACGCATCCGGACACACACGAGCACTGGTGGCTTATCTTCCTCTTCTTCCACCTTATCCATCTTCTCTCTCCCCCCCTGACCACCTCCTTCAGTATTTCTCTGTGGCCTGCTTGCTTGCGTTCTGGTACACTGGACAGAGAAGTGAGGCTCCACACACATCAAGACAGCATTTTGATTGCTAAAAATTCATATTTCTGTTTGGAGAATGAATGTGTTGCATTCACCACAAATGATGAAGTCAGCGGCCCTTGAGGTCTCAGGGCTCTTGGCAAACTTCAGCTATCCTCTCAAATGCTTTCTGTTAAAACAGGAGCATGCCATGGTGTTAGTTATTTGCATCACATTTTCTGCGAATACTTTATTCTGCAACCACAGACGTGCGGTGTTTTTGTACCGTTGTCCTCCCTGGGGGACAAACTGAGGAGATCAGCAGAGTGATTTCAGTAACACAAGGTTATCTTCACTGTGTGAACCGTTTAGGTCTCTCCCTGCTCACCTCCTGGTTTGTCCCTACATTAATTATCATCCACTCACCAGAGCAGAAAAGCCCCATCTCAATGACACTTAGGATTTAGTTTACATAAATATTTGTATATCCCATATCCATCATTACTGGCTGAATTTGTGGTAAAAAAAAGGCGGAAAAACAAAGAAAAACACAGTGCCCTGGATACCTCCTTTTACAGTAAGATGCAAACATAGATGATGTTGGGCTGCGAGGCATTCTGCGATTTTCATGCTCAAATGTCAGAGCGTTTCATCCTGATGACGATGACTCACTCCCCTCAGTCTCGGTCTGCACGAAGGAACAACAGCACCAATTAATGGCCCAACCTTCTCACGTGTGATAATACAAAAATGATCACTATCATCAATGTGAGGGCAAATACCACAAACAAGCAAAGACACGATGAACAAATGTATTAGGATAAAAGGTTACATGTTTCATCAACCCCAGAGAATCCCCCACCTTACTCACATCGCATACACAAGCGGGTGAGGTGGGGGCATGTGAAAACAGAGCAAGACTCAGTAGTCACTGATATGCTCTAGTAGAGGCCTAATGGCCCCTGGGTAATGGTCCTCTTTGGTCTTCAGGAAATCCTCCCTCATGCATACATCAAAGCTTGGATTGGAAGGGATACAGGGAGAAAATAGAGGGGGGCTAACTAAGCGCCACACAGAAAGGAGAGAGGAAGCAACACAGAAAAGACGTCTCTCTGCACTTTGTTTATGATATACGGAAAAACTTTAGCCCTGTGCATATGTAGGTGGGTATGACACCGTGGTAGACCAAGTTCATATTAGTCAGAGTATCAAAACAAAAAACAAAAAAAATGTGCATGGATTACTGTTTTTGTTTATTGAGTGTTGCTAGTTTCCTAACAAATGCAACAGAAAAGAGGAATGGACAGGGAAAGAAATAATTTCCTTTTCAAATGATCTTCTATCGTCAGTTCCCCATCCATTTCTCACATTTCTTGCCATCCATGTCCACCTCACTTTGCTGACACACATTATCCCAGAATTGTCAGTCAGCAGCTATAACACACAACCTGCAGCTCAGCTCATCACACCCCTACCTCTCCTTTCAGTGTCCACGAGCCATCTGCTTAGTCTGCAAACTATATATATATATATATAGTTTGTGTGTGTGTGTGAGTGTATGTGTGTGTACAAACAGACTGCAGAAAATAAGGCATAAAAACAAACATGAAGAAGATTCGTGCAACAGCTGAGAAATATTTTGGAAATTTGTATCAATGAGGTGGATGTGAAAACAGAAGCTACAGAGCTTCACAGTGTCAGGCTGACATCAAATTAGCCTTCGCAGTAACCAAAGCCTTACAGATCCTATTCAATAGAGTCCGTGTTAAAGGGGCAAAGCTAACAGGCCTGTGGAGCCTTTAGTCATATGATAAGGCAAGCAGGTGGTCCTGTCTGAACATG